CACCAGACCCCTTACACGCAGGTCTATGAGCTAGGTAACTAGCCAAAAGGTCCTTGGAGCCATAGGTTGGAAAGCGTAGCTGCACAGGGCAGACGCCCGAGGCACTATCTCTCTTTCTCTGTCTCTCTCTCTTTCTCTGAAGAAGAACACAAGAATAGCAACAAAACTAAAAAGATATTTTGGTGCACATGTGCACTAATTCCACACACACACACACACACACACAATTTGCTTACAATGAATGCTGAACCACACCCAACCGGACCCAAGGTGAGGGCCCTGACCAAATTATTCTATTTTCCCAACACATATCAAGAGCTTAGACCAGCACATAGTATGCGCTCCATAGGCATGGGCTGTTTATATTCTATACGGGTCTGCTCTTAACTACCCAGGCAACTCAACCTCTTGAACTTGAGTCTCCTTATCAGTGGAATAAGTGTAATAGAATGTGCCTCGATTGAAGACGTGTGTCAAATCATATTATAGATGAGGAAGTACCAGGGAAAACATCTATAAGCATGAGCTGCAGTCATGATGCTGACCTGAATGAAATAAAAACTCACTGTGCAGACCAGGAGCACTTACACTTGGGTGTATGATCCACACACACCACTGGCGATCGAGGAAGCCTCTTGAGCAGGCAGCCCAGCCTTCTCAACTGCTCTAGGCAGCAGTGATGGGAAAAACAGCACCTATGACCAAGACAAAGCCTTTACTGTCCAGAGCTCCCAGCTGTCCCAGGAACCCCCTTGAGGCCTGCTTCTCTCACACTCCCTGTAGTAGTGAGAGAAGCCAGTGCCGCTTTTCCTGTGCACATAGGGCTGACTCATACACCCACCAAAGCCCATCAACATGTATGGTTGTTCAGGTTGTGTACTGCACAAAGATGCCACATCTAGGGCAGCATCGATCACACTAGATGCGTCTTATTATTTAAAACTTTTTCTTATATTTCTATTATGACTATTGATGGCAAAGTTGTGTGATTTGCTTATTTATTACAACAATTTTCTAACAGATAGAAATAAAGAGTCTTGAGAAAGGGGTACCTTTTTTCTTTAGTTTATGCAAAAGTTCCATATGGGCTGCCAGCAATCCCATTCACTCCAGCCTTCTACACAGAACAGTTAATCCCATATCGATAGTGCACCCCCATTTGTCCCTAGCCTTAAAAGAGCAGAGTAACTATCCTGAGCATCAATAAAGAAGTGCATCTAGAAAAGTGTCCAGCATAGAGCAGGACCTCAGCACATACACGGGAATGAATCAATGTCTTGCTCTTTAGACCTGCCAACCTGGCCTGAGACAGCCTCACGATCTCCGGTAGCCTATCCCCCCAAGCCAGATGAACATCCTTAGGAAACTTGTGATGACTCCTGCCAATAGGGAGCTATAATTGCTCCCTAAATTCTCCCTTTTTGACTCTTCCCTGTACTTTAATAACTCGCACTCCATCTTGGAAATTACAGCCCAAGCAGGGATTAGCCACAGACTCTTGTGTTTTTTGTTAGCACTCGTTCTCAGCCAAATTTCAGCTTTATCAACCTTTCCCTGTTGCCAGCAATCAGAGGAACAAGCCTGCCTTGCATGCTACGCTATCTTGTTTGTGCACTTGATAGGGGTAGGTGGGGATGAATAGTTAATATAAAAGTTAAAATCAAAAGACTGTGAGTGAATCAGAAATCATATATGATCAAAATACACTTAAATCATTTAAATTGCACAAAATATTTTGGTTTTGAAATGCATCCTTGTAGAAGATGATATCATTTGACTAACTCTTCTCTAGTCAAGGGTTTCCTCCTGTGGCTTTGTTTTTCAATTTCTTTCCATGGATATCATCCCAAGGAAAGCCACACCATAACTTATTTGTCTGGTCACATTTCATGTTTTTGTGAAATACGGTCAGTGATCAGGAAACACCTTCAAAATCATCCCCACTTTCTTTCCATGGAGTTCGGCAGAACCCAGTGACTGCTGCTGCCTTGATTTCTATCTTTTGCCTTACATTACTGAGTGCTGTGGCCTCAGGAACCTGACACTAAACTGTTCTTTGTCTTGGAAAGCAGAGAGCATATTATTGGACCTCACAGTGTAAACATGCTTGTGATTCCATAGAGTGGCATAAACTTTGTTAGAAAAAAACTTCTTTAGGGTCCCCTAGTAGGAGGTAAGTTTTGAAGGTTGCATGTGCAGCAGAGCCCATGGTTTCCTTCAGTGAAAGCCTGTGGAGGTTGGATAATGGGGCCGGGGTGACTGTGTGGTAGAGACCTTCTCAGAAGGTGGGTGGGTAATACAGCCACCCAGATGACACCTGACCTGCAGGGGACATGCTCCATGTTTCTGCCATTATCATATCCTTTATATTAACTACAATAAGCTTGGTCTTTTTCTTTTCTTCGACTTCATCTACAGTCATTGATTTTGCTTTGGCAACCATAGCATCCGAGAAGGATTTACACCTTTTGAATGTAGAACTCTCAATCGGCTGTGGACTGGGGCAGTCCCCACGTGCAGTCAGTCTGTAAACCTTATCAACTCTGCTTTCACAGTATTCCTCAGACTCTAGTCTAGTCCTCCACAGTTTTCTCCATTTCTCCTACTGCATTTACTGTATTGGGCAGTATTTTTGCTTAATTGTCCACCTCTTTCACTCCGAGAGCTCCTATTGTGCACAAGCAGTTTTTCTTTGTTCTGCTCTGTTCAGGTTTAACCATTTTTATGTCTCTGCCACCTAGCATAGTGCCTGGCACAGAGAAAAAGCTTAAGAAATGTGGGGTGAATGCATATATAATTGAATGAATAAATTAATGAATTCATGAGGTCAGTGACAATTCATCTAAGAGTGGTAGATATAAAATTTAGCAGTTATACTTAGATGTTGTTGAGAAACTAATTTTGATGTGGCCTTCTGCAGGGCAAACTGAGGGGAGACCCAATTCGACATGTTGGTCTTTGCAATATAGGCAAACTTGGGGACATCTGAAGTGTCTTTGCAGATCGGCCCTCTCAGGGCAGCTGGGCAGTGTTCGTGGTAGTGCCGAAGGGGCTCTAGACTCTCAAATCAAAAGATCTGGATCTGTCTGGCTCTGCCACTTCCTAGATGAATGACCTCAGACAAGTCAGTCTCTGAGCCTCAGCTGCTCATCAGGAAAATGGGTCTACAATACCAAAGAGCTACACAGAGTGAGACAGTGAATGCAACAAGCTCTTTGTGAAGCCTAAAGTGATGTCCAGTGCAGAGGAGGGCTCTGAGATCTCACTGATACAGGTAGCATCAGCACCTCCAGCCTCCACCTTTCCCACCAATACCTGTCCAGGGCATCTCGTGGCTCGCCTCTTCCTTCCTGCCCACAGTAGCAGCCATAAGATTCAAATTCCTCCGGGCACCGGGACGTCCGACAAAAGAGCATCTCTCCAAGCTGCACCATCACCTGTGTGTTGTCCCCGCTCCCCAGGTGCAGGAAGGTGAATCTGTCACAGGCTGATTAGAAACAGGGACTCTCAGGAGAGCAAGGAATGTCAGGGTGGCATCCACAAAAGGAGAGCTATGTCCCAGGTGCTACGGGGACAACTCTGGGTCACCCGAGGAAACCCCATGTCCTGCACCTCAGTTTGCCATTCTTCTGGGAAAACTGTGCCACGCTCGGCCCCCTGTCTTGGACACCTCATCTTTCGAGGCAAGTCTTTTCTCGCCAGGTGTCTGATGCTCTGCTGGACTTCTTGCTAAATCTCCCTAAGGGATGAGGACATGTCAGGACAAAAGGTGTGCTCCAGGCCACGTTTTATTACTGTTTTTACTTTCTGGCTCCATCAGGTTAGCACACCTGGCCAGGCTTGCCTTTTGGGGCCCTTGGTTTTCTTTCTCTGCCTCTGTCTCTCTCTGTCTTCTCTCTCTCTCTCTCTCCCTTTCCTTCTCCCTTCCCCAACTCCTCCCCTTTCACATGCAGCTTTCTCCATAGGTCTGTACTGATATTAACAAAGTCCTCCTCTGGGTCCAGCTGGCTGCAGATCCTTGCAGGGGCAGGGCCTTTGGTAAGGCATCAGAGGAAAGAGAAACAAGGGGGAGGATTATGAAAATGCAAGTGTTTCATTCTTTCCAGTAAACCATGGTGTGGATGACGCCAGGCTCTTTCCTTCTAGGCCAGTAAGAGTGGGGAGAGCACTAGGGCAGGGGCTCAAAAGACCCTGGCACCTCTCCCAGGCTCAGCCTCACCGCAGCTGAGTGGATACAGGTACGTCATGCCCCCTCTCAGCCTCTATGTGTTCACCTAGCTAGGGGATGGGTAATATCTTCTAGTCCCACCAACTTACGAAGGTCACAATGGTATCAGGTGGCCTAAGGTGCTTTGTTACTATACTTGATCTTAGCCAAAAGGTCGAGAAGTGATAAGGTGCTTTGTTAACACCCTAGTCAAAGGGTGGCAAGGGTGGAGAGGACAGACACTTGTCAGGCTGCCTGCTTCTGCTTACCTTTTCCAGTTGACTCCTCAGGATCACTTTCAATGGACGACACTGCCAACTCCAAAGATTTAACGCCAGCAGGGATGAGGGTTACACCTTTAGCTGTGGCTACAATCTCTGCAGATTCTGAAAATGCACAATTTTATGGTTCAGATTCCAAAAATGGCTCAATGAGAGATTTGTAGGTAGACACATGGTCAAGGCCAAATGTAGACAGATACCTCAGAATGCCAAAGCATTAGGACAGTGTTCCTCAGACAGGGTTTGCAGACATCAAGGCAGCTTCTCAGGGATCCACAAATTGTACATGAGAATTTCCAAATTTTCCCTGATTACCTTAACACCTACAGGAGCCTATGCTGGATCATCTGGATGGCATCTCATGGGGGAGACCTGTGGCAGCCTCTCAGGCCTGTGTTTGTTTCGTGTTCTCTATTGTGCACCTGCCCAGTGAAGCCCCATCATGGTGCTCGCAGCATGTGGAGAAGTGGAGCGTGGTAGAGAAATTATGCCAACTTAATAATCATGTAGCCAAGCAAAACTCCTCCTCAAACCTCTCTATTTCCTTGCTCAAACAATGCAACCACTCTCATCATATTTAGAATTAAGCACAAGGTCTTTCCCGTGGCCTGCAAGGCTGCCCGTGATCTGGCCTTACCTCCTGGCCATCTCCTCTCTTACCATCTCCCTAGCACTCTCTCTGGGTCTCCCTTTGCTCTGCGGTGTCAGCCCCACCTGCCCTCTTAGCTGGAGGCAGAGAAGTCTCCAGCCCATAGGCCAACTCTCCAGCCCACTGTGGTCCCGGGAAAGGGAACATCAGCAACTTCAACCCCACCAATCTTCTGACCCAAGCTCAGTTCCCAGAGTGCTGGGTGAGGCCTGGGCATCTGTGCCCAGTGAATGGCAGTCCTTCCCCAAATCTGCCGCAATGGTTTGCTTCATGCATCTTCTACCTCCTCTTGCACAACACTCTAGTTCCCATGGGACTAAGCCCTGCTGTAGTTTCAGTCTCCTAGGTTTAGCATCCTGCCTAATTCTCCAGCCCCACAAATAGCAACTGGTTAACTAGTTTCTTTCTATCATGTTCCTGACTGCTGCAAACTTGCCAAGTCTGGGTAGTAGACTAGAAAGGACACAGTTTTTCTTTCTTTCTTTTTTTTTTTTTTGTCTTTTTTGTGGCCGGTAAGGGGATCACAACCCTTGGCTTGGTGTCGCCCGCACCGCGCTCAGCCAGTGAGC